GAATATTCGTTCTCAAACTTAATAATTCCATAAAGATTTTATCTTGGAAAAGTATCTTATTTAAGGAGAATTATAAGGAAAAAAATATTAAAATAAAATAATTCAGTTTGTTTATTATAAAATGATGCAAGAAGGGTATAACTGATTGACTATAAATTGATGTTTTCCATACCATCTTCAAAACACTAATATGTATCAACATTAAAAACACTTGATGAAATATTTGAAATATCTTAATAATATATCTTCAATTGTTTGAATTATATGTAATCTACTATAAGTGAAGAAAACATTGCTTAATTCTCAATGAATTATGGTTTATATTCTTTCATAAAAGTTTATGTATCTTTTTTCTTGTTTCATTCATCCTCGTATTCATTGACTTAAACATCGAAAAACCTCTTACAAATTCTCTTCGTCCAATACCTACTTAGATGGATCAAAACAAGCTCCGGTTAATCCAGGTAAGTCAGTATAACGATGGAAAGAGAAGAAACTTATGAGAAGCATCGTGGGAAGGAAACGTGGAATCACATGCATGCAATCCAAAGCAATTAGGTCACCAAGGAGACCCAAATATTAATGGGTTTTGTAAATTTGAATCTGTTTAGGAAGCCCAAATATTTCCTTTTCTATTTACATTCTGCCTACTCGCTAAGTTCGCTGCTTATAAATTTGAATATGTAAAATTATTTTATTAACCTTTTTTTTCTTATTTTTTTATCAGAAAAACAAAAAAACAAAAAAAATTATATATATCAACACCATAAGTGCTCAATAAAATTAAATAATCAACCAAACCTTAAAAATATGTAGAAATTTGGTAAAAAGAATTGAGAGGAAAGGGTTTTAGGGTTTATAATTTTTCTAGGCCCTATAATTTCTGTTCCTGGTGGTTTTGTTTTGGGCTGATGAAACATATAGGAACCTAAACCTGTCTGTTTTACTTTGGGCCTCCGTCTTCAATTTCTTAATTTTTGTGTAGAGATAATCTTCGGCCATTATTATTTACCCTCTCCTTTATATCTCAATTTTAATGTTATTTGTAAAATATCATTTTTCAGAAAATATTTTTTTTGTAAAATGGATTAATATTTCAACGTAGAATTAAAATAATATACCTCTACTTCCAGAAAGTATTGCAATTTTAACACCGTGAAGTAATTTCAGTAAACTTAAAAAAAAAAAAAAAACACACCAATGATCTTTAAGCGACAATCTTTGTACTGAAATAATTCACCGTAAACGAATTTTTGCATAATCTACCCAAATATGCACAATTACACTTAATTTATAAAAATCATAATTTTTATATTCTTCTATGTTACATTTTGAAGTTTGTCTGCTTTATATATATATATATATATATATTAAATTAGTTTCTTCAGTAAAAATATTCTAGACAGATTATTTAAGTAAGAGATTGTAACTTATATATTAGAATTAATCTAACTTCCTAAATTTAATGCTTATTAATATATGTTATTGTATTTATAAATAATTATTTATTTATATTTTTCTCATAAATATTAAATAAATCATTAAATATATTAAATAAAACAATATTTTATATATATTTTTTCATATATTTCTATTTTTTTTATAGTTATCAAAATGGGCTATTTAGTCTAACCGGACAAAATCTGTCAGTAAATATTTATATTATTTATTATAAAATATTTTTCAAGAGACATCCTTCCCTTTTTTTATATTATTATTGATTTTCCTTTTTATTATTTTTAGAATTTGAATTATAATTTAGATTAAAAGAATTGTCACTATCGGTGATTCAAATCCAAGTAACTTAAAATTAGAAACTGATACTCCAACCACTAAACTATCAAAATTTTTTTATTATGATTTACAATAAATTATATTTATATACAAATAAATGTATATTCATATAAATATATAAATACAATATATTTATATTTATACATTTTTATATTTATATATTTGTATATTTATATATTTTTATATAATTAAATATTTATTTTTTAAATTTATTTAATTTAATAAAATATTATAAATTAATCTAATTATGATTAAATTAATTTATTAAATAGAAAAAAATTTAATTTTTTAATTAGGTGAATAATTAATTTATTATAATATATTTAAAATTAAGTAATTATTATATAATTTTACCGACGGATATATCCGTCTGTAAGTAATTGTTAATTTATTGATGGGTTTACCGACGGATATATCCGTCGGTAATTAATTGTTAATTTACCGATGAATTTACTGACGGATATATCCGTCGGTAATTAATTGTTAATTTATTGATAAATTTTTCAACAGATATATCCGTCGGTAACTAATTATTAATTTACCGACGGATATATCCGTGGATAAGACCAAATTCCACATATACTTTTTATCCAGTCGATAATTCCATCGATAATAACTAATTTTCCGACGGTTACAAATTCGTCGGTAAAAATCCATCGAAATAAGTAATTTTCTTGTAGTATATAGATTAAGTAAAAGAATTTAATAGCCTAACTTAGTCTATATTTTTAAAATGGACACATTTTTTTAACCTAATCTAATCCTATATTAGATCAATAGACTAACAATTTTGACCTAACTGATTTTTTATTAAAAAATATTAACATATTGATATCAAATCAATTAATTAAAAATATATTTAAATAAAAAATTAGTTTTTAATTTAATTTTTTTTAATAAGATATAATAATTTAATATATTAATAGAATTTAAATTTTGTTAATAAAATTAGTTTTTATTTAAGATATAATAATTCAATATATAAATGCATCTATTCGATCTTAAAATAAAAAATAAAAATTTATTATTTATTATCATTACTTAAATTTTTAGTAATTTATTAATTTAAAATAATAATTAATCTTAATCATTTTAGAATAAGTGATTATTAAAGATTTATTTTGATATTTTCTCTAATAAATAAATATCTTATTAAATTAATTTATAATATATATATATATTTAATAAAATAATATTATTTTTTATTTTTATTTTAAAAATAATTATTATTTTATAAAATGTGTTTATCTATAAGCCTAAGAATTAACCCAACTTAAACTCATGTAAGTCATAATCTAAATAGAACTAATTCAATTTAGACTAACCTATTTCTCAATTTTTTCGAATTGGTCGTGGACTAAACTTATTTTAACACCCATACTTTTTCATATTATTTTATTATTAGTTAATAATATATTATTTTATTTTATTTTATTATTAATTAAGTATATGTTATTTGATCTCTATTACTTTTTTATATATTATATTATTAATTAATAATATATTTTACTATTTTATTATTAATTAATAATATTTTATTTATTCCCAAAATTATTAATAAAGATAAGTTGATTCTCATAATTATAAAATTTCTTAATAAAATAAATTATTTAAGCTTTCTTCTACTCTGTGCGATGCGTATCCTTTTCAATGGTATCATTGTCCACTGTTATGTGTGATTGGACATTTTTAAACTACTGGAAAGTTTTACCAACCATGAATAAAAAAGCATTCTAGGTCAAATTTTGATGCCCTGATCTTTCTGTTCAGTTGAATGTCGGAATTGAATGTCCTTTCCATTCATGCTTTAATATTGAAACGCCTGAAGTGGGGCATATTTGAGATGGTTGGTTTAACTAACTACAATCAATTTTGAAATTACTTTCCATAACTTACTTATATTATCTACTTCATCACATGAAATTTTTTTTATAACTATTTTAGGTATTGTGGTCTATAAAAATTATATTATCCTTTATCAAATAAAAAAAATTATAAGTGAAGAAAAAATATAGGAAAAATAGATTTGAAAGATAATTTTACAAGAAGAATGGAGAGAATGTGTAATACAGAATAAAAAATAAATAAAATAAAATTATAACTATAATTTTGTAAAAAACAAAAACCATTTTAATAATATAAAGAATGAACATCAAATATGCATTGGATATAGTGTTTTATCTCCAATTCTAAAAAAAAATATTTCTTTTTCCCCACAAAATACAAGAATTTTTTTTCCGCATATATAATTACATGGTTCCTGATCTTCATCGAATTAATTAATATATGTTTCAAATGTGATTTCAGTTTTTTTTTTTAGGTTTTAATTAGTAAACAAAATAATAGTTTTCAGTATAAAAAATTATTTGAGATATGATACATTTTCTTCTCATTTCTTCTTTAAAATATTTATTATATATTTACTTTTTTTTGCATTATTTTATTATTAATTTTGTTTCTCTTTTTCCACGTGATAGGAATTTATTATTTTTATTAACCCCTAAAAACACGGTTAAATTTAATTATAAGTGTATTTTCTCATATAAAAAAATATCTTAAAGTAATATATGTTACGATTTCAAATAAAAAGTGTGTTAATTTTCTTCGTCGGTTAGATAGGAAGTAAAAAAACTTCAATAATTTTATCGATCTCATTGTGAATTCATGTTAAAAAAACACAACTTTCATCTTTATATATATAAAAGATAATAACAATGTTGATTTTGTTGGATAATATATATCAGAAATTTTATATGACTATTATATATTCTCTTTCTTCAATTTTTGACATAACAAAATTAGGAGAGAGTGGAATTCGAAAAGATATTATAGTATCTGAATTTCATGACTTACTCGCCTACCCTCGTATCTACACCAAAATGATGATGTTTGGAACATAAGGACATAGAAAGTGAAGAAGTATAGTCAACTTAATACGAATGATATGATTACTCATAATTACAAGTTTAGACATTTACACTAGGACTAACTAATCATCATCATCATCTCTTGGTAATGCAGAGAGATTGATGGATGTCCTTTCAGTTCAGTCATGAGAGAATAGGCTATATCATAGTGAGAAATAGAAAGCAGAAAAAAAGTGCTAATGAGGCAGACAATAAAGCAAGCCCGTGATAGTAATAATGATAGGAAAATGAAGAAAGTGAAGGCATGCATGCATGCTTGCATGCCATCAACTAAACAAGCTAGTATAACCACAAGGATTGCCCCATGTCCATGCCTAAAAGGGACTTGGTTTGCGAAGACAAGAGCCTGCTTGATGATTGGAACAAGTTTTCTGATGATGAATTGGAGGGTTCAGGAGCCACTAGGCAGGCTTGATGGTGGTCTTGATTTGGTGGTGGTGAGAATTGGCGCATTCTCATGTGCACAACCTCTGCTTGTGCCAGTGCCAGTTGGGTTTGGAGCACATCAACTTGTTGTTGCAGAGAGGATATGGCTCCCACACATCCATAAACAGGGTCCCTCACCCTTGCATTCGCTTCGTACACCATTGAACTCACTGCATCACTTCTTTGGTGCTCAGGTAATTCCTGTCAATTTTACGAAATAAATATTAAAATATATACATGTAAAATAAAAAAGAGCGAAAGAGGTATAAAGAGAAAGAAACATAATGAATGATCGATATGAAATATATGTTTCATAAATCATCACATCGAACTCAATTATATGAAGCGAAATATCATGTTACATGACATCTCATAGTTATTTGGCGTGTAAGTGACTTTTAGGATAATGATTGTTTGCTCATAGTGAGGTTCGACCATTCAGCCAAAGAAAATACAAAAGAAAAAGTTTCATATGTGGCTTGCATTAGTGTGTCCGCATGCTATAATGTTATAAAATTCAAGGGAAAACCCTTTACGTACTGAACCAGATCACTAGGAAAAAAATAAAACTGATCTTCAATGGGAGGCCATACTACGCTTGTGAATTTTTGACCAAAGATGCATAGGCTCTAGCTTTTTGAATTTGTAGTGATCGAGGGCTATGATGTAAACCAAAGGGGTTGTTTGGATATAAACTGATCCCATGCTTAGTCAAAAAAGGGAAGATAAGGTGCACGTTGAAGTTGGTTACTTTGGCGGGGAAAAGAAAAATATTAAACAGTTGACTATAAACACAATATTATCTGCAATAATTTCAGAATAATATACTTTGAAATACGATATATATACATCTCTAGAAGCCACTGATTTGTTGATTCTGTTGCATCGTGACCCAAAAGGCAACAACCCTTAAATTGTTTTTCTTGACAACAAAATCATGCAAGTTTCTTATTAAAAAATGGATTTAATGGATTCCGACTTTGTTACATCAGTAAATAATTCTTTTGATTAACCAAGTATATATGTCATTGTTCGCTAGAAAAGAAGAAGCCAATATGTCATCAAGGTATCATGCTTACAAAATAATTCTTTTGGAAAAATAATTTATATTCACAGGTTGAAACATCTTTATCTGGGGAATCAACATCACTTTTGGACATATTACTATTGCGTCTCTTTCAATGTAACCCTGATTTTATAGACAAAAGGAAAAGTTGAGCATACTAAAACTTTCCTTTTTCCGGAATTATCATTGCCCAAGGAGTCCCAAGACTAAAAGCCAAGCCCAAGCGGTGGTCATAAAGAGAGATGCTGAACAAATTGGGATACACATAACCACCATAATGATGCAATTAGCAACATCTTTCTTACTTTATCCTCCTCTTCACACTCAGTGTGCCTTCAAGTAGTAAAGCTAATTTCTATACATCTGATCCTCTGTTCTCTTTATAAGGCTAAGGAATCATATAGGGTATTACCAGTGCAGTTTTCTTTTTTTTTTTTTATGGTTGATGCATTACTGCTACAGTAGTACCTTACATTAACAGAGACTGAGAATTATATACAGTTTATCTAAAGTGTGCACCGTAGGGCCTCCCTCAACTGTAATTAACCACTCTAACTGAAGTAAATATGGGAGAAACAAAATAAAGATACCCTTTTCACTTTTCTTGGACAACTACTTTCCACTTAAGAAATATTATAATATCTCATGGGAAATTTACATGGTGATAAGAACACTCAAAACCTGCTGCATCATATATGTTTCTAAGTTGTAACAATTTTTTCAATCATTAGAAAGATGTGGAGAGGGTAACCAAGTTGTATCAGTAATTAATTTAGTGTACGATTTCAAGGGCTTGACGATGGAAGTTAAAATAAGATTGGGTACTCAGGTCCTAGGGTTCGTTTCATTCTCAAAGTTGTTAGACGTAAAATCAATCACTTTCCTTCACCTAATAACTATAAAGTTTAGAAATAATTGGTTCATGGTGAGATTAAAGTATGATGTTTGTGTTCTCCCAATCTTCTACCAGGCGGTTTCATGATTTCCAAAACTAATATTAAAGTTATTTTGTCATTAGTGTTAATTTAACCGAGTTATTCTATATGAAAACCGATCATCTTAAACTAGTTTTAAACTAATCTATATTTAATTTTATTTAAAATAATAAGAAAGAAACCACAGCATTCTTGTTGTCGATAGGATGAAAGAATGATCTCAACAATTTTTGTTTTTTGATAAGTAAATGATCTATACATGGTGCCTAATCAATCACTTCTAAATCTAATAGAAGATGAAGATTGGAAAACTGAAAAAGAACGAGGGCATGGAAAAATAAACATAAAAGTCTAACATATAATTCTTTTTAAGAATGCGTTTCATTCCAAATTAAATTGCTTTCCCCATGAAATAAGCTTCACAAATTTAGGTATTGCTGTAAAAAGCTAAAACTACGACAGTGAAGAATCAATATATATATATATATATATATATATATATATATATATATATATATATATATATATATATATATATATATATATATATATATATATATATATATATATATATAGTTAAGAGGATGCATCTTCACATATTGTTCATAATTTAAGGTAAAAAACTTACGTAAAAAAATATGTAGATGGGAAATCATCTATATATTCTATTGTTATTATTGTTTCATTTGACTAGGTATAGATCTACCAGACACAGATAAATGGCATGACCTTCGATGCAGAGTCAATATGGTTCCTCTGATTTCTTATATAGCCTTTGTGGATTAACCATTACTTGGTATATTAGATATAGGGGTTCTACGGAGCAATGTTACACCTTTTGCTCCAAAACACACTAGCGCTTCTTGTGCTCTATTTCCACTAACTTTGTTTCAGATAGGCAAAATAATTTGATTAATTAAAATGGAAATAGGGACAAGATAAGCAAAAGAGTTGCCATTAGACTGCACTGTTTCACTAATTAATTCATTTATCAAAAGGAAAATATACATTAAATACAGTTTGAGAAGAAACTAGTAACATCCTTGTTTGTTTGTTTGTTTTAACTTCTGAACAGTTTCTTAAAATATATTCACGTTTTAATTTTGATGGCAATTGTGTTACCTTAGCAGTATGAAAGAAAATTATGGATATAAGTGACCTAATGCAGCCACCAATATGATTTCAATAGCCGCAGTTTAAAACCACGGAAATATTTGTCAAATGCACGGATTTTACGATTCTGCATAACATTCAATGTATGGAAAAAGTTGAATTGGACCTAAAACAGTAATCCACAAGCGTATTTTCTTGAAAATGACAGAAATTTCATGCGTGGATACGATGATAGAGAAAGGAGAGGTGCATAAGAACTTGTACCTGTAGCATCTTGTTCACATTGCTAGCCCCGAAAACCTTGTGCACACTACCAAACTTCTGGGGTTCATCAGCAGGAAAATAAGGAGCAAACACACAATCCCTGGTGCACCTCCTTCGGAGAAGCTTGCAAGCCGCACATGGCGACATGGTACCTTGTTTTCTACCACTCTCTTTCATGTTCTTGTGGGAAAACAAGACAATGTGCCACCCCTTTGAGCTATTAGGTTTTTTTGTTTTTTTTTTCTTTCCTTAAACCTTGAAGAAGCAGGTTAATGATGAAAATGAAGAAAGGAAAAGAAGAAAAAAAAAAGAGAGGGAGAGAGAGGAGAAGGTGGACTTTAGAGGGGGAATTGGAGATGATGTCGTTATATAGAGACGTTATGTGACAGCAAATCTTTAGGGGTCCCACAAAAGAAGAGGCTATAGATTGTGCTGGACAAAATCATCTGTGTTGATAAGATCTTTGCCCCACCTTGAAAAATATATTTTGTCTCACTGTTTTATTTTATTCATTTTCTGGCGCGCTCTGGTAAGCTTTGATGGCTTCACCATTTGAAAGTTCTTGGTTGATTTGAGAGGGTTCGGTTCAGAACAAGCCATCCACTTCCTTGTGTTTGCAGACAATAAATAATTGATGGCCATTTTAATGTTAATTGGGTTGTAGTTGTTCTCTTCACAGTCAAGTACATTGGTCAGTGTTCCTCATTGGCCTCTTGTGCTGCACTTTTTCTTTTTGATCCAAAAGTGACACATGGATTTTCCTTTTCTTCAATTCGTTTCTCGGAGCTTTACAAGGTGAACACAGAATATTTGATCAGTTGTACGGGCACTAAAGGGCATGACAAGAAATAAATTAAAGGGAACAGTGTAAGCACCCTCTGTTTAAAGGTGAAAGAAAACAAATGAATTAATTGGATTTTTCTCCACCATTCTTTTAGTTTTGGAAAAAAACACATTTTTTTTAGTTAGTGATACATATTTTACATGGATTAAATATATTGTACATTAAGTGATGTAAAAAATTCAAACATATTCATGATTTACTTTTTAATATATCAATATAACTCTATTATTTAATTTTAAACTTATTCAATTTTCATCTTTTATTATTATATTTCTCTCACAATCTTCTCTTTCTTCCTCTTTTTTTTCTCTTGTATTGTATCCATTGGTTCAATTTCATTCTGGCGAGTAATAAAGAGTATGACAAAACAATTTTTTTTTATTCACAAAAATAATTTTTTATTTTATATTTTTGGTAATTAAGATTTTGAGCTTTTAGTTTATTTTTTAATTGTAATTTGGACTTAATTATATAATAAAAGAATATGACAAGTTTTGGGCCTCTATGGGAACATCATCTCAAGCCCAATAATAGGAGGCATATTGGTCAAGACTTCAATTGAAGTAACCTCTCAAGCCCAATCGAGGAAAGAATCTCAACCAAATAACAAGGGAATGAGGCACATGTCACCAAAGCAGGAAACATGTTCAAGCATGGAATACACTCGCGGAAAGTCTGCCTCAGTATAATTTAAATACTCGTTAAACTATTTCATATATTATCAATTGATTTTATATTAATACCTTAACAATACTTTCCTCCAAAATTCATGACTATGAGACATCAAAAATTCATTTTATTTGAATTTTTCTCCCATTTAATTTAAGTCTTTGGATAATAAAGCTATAAATAGTTACCGTCTTGTATATTTACTTTCTTATATTATATATAACAATTTTAGTTTTGAGGAAAATTCTTATAAAAGTGATTCATAATTTTTTGAACTCTTATCTTGATTTCTTGGAATTAAGAGATGATTATTCACTCACCTATCATAGAGATGAAGGGTTTCAAGTGACATTACTCTTTTTCTTTTTCTTTTTTTATCTCGTAAGTTTTTCATATTTTTTACTTGTATTTCTATTATTTTCCTTCTATTCATTTCATGCATTCTTCCCTATTCTATTACTTATCTTGCTCTTACTTTGTTTCAACACAAGCTTTCACAGAGACTTAATTTATGTTCAATGGTCAAAACCTTCACATGGATTAAGTTTGTGTCTAGTAATAAGTGATGGATTCTAACCTAAGTGTTCATCAAAGAAAAATAAACTATAAATCTGCTTCTAATTACCTCAACCTTCCTTTTCTAATCTAGACTCTAATTGTTTTACATCAGTGAAGAAAAATAAACCCATTAATGTTTTAAACTTTGCTCGAAGTTTGGTGGATTGAAAAAAAAAAAATCAGAGGTATTAGAGATTTTAATGGATTAAAATGTTTTTATAAGTATTGAGCTTAGTATGAAACACATTTTAATCAATTTAAACTTCATTTTAATGTGTTAATTTCACTTATGTATATTTTAATTAAAAATTCATTCTACTTTAATTGATTAAATTGAATATTTAATTTATTAAAATAATTTAAAGTAAGTATTTTAATGTTTTTAACCTATTAAATTTTGAAGATTTAAAATGTCATTTTAATTCATTAAAACTATCAATACCCTATATATAACTTTCCTCGGGATTCTAAAATATAAAAGTAAAAAATTAAAAATATTTTTTCAATGATAGTAAAAGAGATGTATTATGATTGTTAAGTGGTAAAAGTTGATATAATTATGCTTTTAATTGTTATGAAATCACTTAACTTATATCAATTCTAATCTATTGTTTTCTCTCAATGTAGGATGAATTCGAGAATACCTTGATACAAGAGCAAAAAACATAATTGTCAACGTAATTGAAGAAAAATTGAAAGAAAGAAGAACGCTTGAGCGAATGAATGATGCGAGTAGGCATGGTAACAGGGCGGGGCGGGGGCGGGTTTTACCTCCCCGATCCCCGTCCCCGACTTTTTTAACCATCCCCGTCCCCGCCCCCGACCCGATCCCGCGGGGTTAGATATTAAGTCTTCATCCCCATCCTCGCTGGGTTTCGGGTTCCCGCCCCGCTCCGTCCCCGATCTATATTATTTTTAAAAAGATAATTATATTTATAATAAATTATTTTTACTATCTATTTTTTATATATAACTAAATATTTATAATTTTATAATTTATAATTATTATTAATTAAATATACATTTTAATTTACTATATTTATATTAATATATATATATATATATATATATGTGTGTAAAAGAAATATTTAATCATTTTTTATTTATTTATATTATTATTATTATTATTATTATTATTATAACAATGTATTAAAATATTTGGATATTTATAACATTATTATTATTATTATTATAATACTGTATTCAAACATTTAATTATATATATATAAGTTAATTCATTTTTAAGTTGTCATTTAAAAATATGAAATATATAGTTTATAAGGAAATATTTAATAAGTTAATTCTTATTCAATTAGTTCGAAGTAATAAAAATTTAAATTATCAATTCTTTTAATCCTTTAAAATAAAATTATTTTATTAAGATAAAATTTGATATATGATAAATAAGAATAATAAGATAAAAAAATATGACATAATAAAATCTAATAAATATAAATTATAAATAAAATAATATTAGTTACTACTAAGATTTATGTAAAATATTTAGAAAAAAGATAAAGAATAAAAAAGAATTAACTATGTGTTCATCAAATTGGTTGAAAAGATTGAAAAAAATAAATAAATTGATGGGAGAGATTAAGGAAATATGAAAAACTGAAAGGTAAGAGAGAATAATGTAATAAATTAATTGATATAAAAGATTAAAAAAGACAAAAAAACTAAAAAGTGGGTAGAAGAAAATAAAAATTGGTGAAATATAAAAAAATGACTTTATATGTAATAGAAAAAGAAAAGGAAATACTTTTAAAATATTAATATTTTAAAATTTAAATTTAAATATAAAGTCGGGCGGAGACGGGGTCGGGGTGAGAATTGCATTACCCATCCCCGCCCCCGCCCCCGACTTTTTAAAGCGGGGAAAACCTGAACCCGCCCCCGGTCAACTCAGCTTTTCCCCGTCAAACTCGAGGCGGGGATGGGTCGGTCTCCACGGGTACGGGTTTAATTGTCATCCCTAGATGCGAGGTCCGACCCAAATTTTCCTATAAAAAGAGTAGACGCATTTTGAGATGGAGGAGACAATTTTTGGGGAGAAGAGACGTGACTACTGCTAGGGTTTCGTCCAATCTTCATCAATTCTTCACTTCTTCTTCATTAGAAGCATTGTAATGGCCACCATGAATGACTAACTTCATTCTCTTGGGATTGAGTGCACTTCCTTTGAACTCTTTTGTATCATGGTGATATTTTGAGATATTAATCTATGTTTTGATATTGTTATTTTTATCTTTTATGCTTTGAAATAATTTATTCTTGATGTTTGTGATATGATTGAAAATATATCTTGAACCTTAGATCATGGTAAAAATATTTGTTACGTTAATTGTCAGAAATGAAATGAATGTATCAATTGCTTAACACCCTAAACCTAATGCTGGAAAATCTCTTAATTGTGTGTGAAATTAATATTTATTAGGTTTTCTTATGAATTTCATGTGTGAGGAATCAATATGGATGATTCGAGTAGGTGACATCAACATTGTTAGGTTAATTGATGTTCTTAATTGACATAGCCATTGCAAAAAAGGGAAAAGGAAGGAAGTAAATCTTAAGTGCCTTTAATTGATATTTTCTAAATAATTTACAGTTCTTTGTCATTTAAATTCAATTCAACTCTTTATGCAAACCCCATTTTAATTTAATCCACTTTGTAAGTATATAATTGAGAATTTCCATTGAAATTGTTCCTCGTGGGATCGACTTTTATTTAATCGAAATACTATAATGCGATTGATAATTTTGGTACGCTTGCCAATAATTCAACAAGTATTTCTGGCACCGTTGCCGGGGAACAACGTTCCTTGGAAATTCTTTGTTTAGCTTATTAAGTATTTGAATATTTTATTTTATTTTCATTTATTTAAATATTTTATTTTTAGTTATTTGAATATTTTATTTTATTTTAGTTATTTTAAATATTTTATTTTCAGTTATTTTAAATTTATTTTTTTTACTTTATTTTTATTTTATTTTTAATTTTTGTCCCGTGCTAATTTTTTCTTGAGTTACTCTTTGATTTATACTTTTAAGAGGACAAATATCTTCAGAGCAGTTAGAATTTAATTCGGAGATTGAAAAAATTGCT